TTCTGCTGCTGTAGTCCATGGAGGGAATTAGAGCTCACAGTGCTCCCAGAAATCCTGCTTGAGCCTAGATTTTGCTTGCTCTAACCTAATGCCTACCTGAAGTCCACTCCTTCTGAAAGTATCTGAAACCAAGAAAGAAAAACTGGTTTAGATAGTCTGGGCTTGAATGCAGATTCATAGCCTGTTTTAATGTGTATTTTAAAAAGCACATGAGCTGTCCTTGAATAAAACCAAGTGCTGACAAACTCATTTTCTAGACTCAGGGTATGCACATATTGGCATGAATAGGAGGACAGCTATTACTGATGAGCTCCGTGTGTGGACAAGTTAGTACAGCGAGCACGGGCTGGAAGGAGCCGAGGCACGACTGGGGCTCCTAATGAGGCCTAGATTAGACTTTGCCAGAGGGGAAGGCAAGGCAAGAACGGCTCTGAACTCCTGTCGTCACCTGTGGTGGCTGAGCACAGACACCCCTCGCCGTCCCGGTGAAGTCAGCAGCGCCGAGCCGGGCTGGAGCCGAGCCCCGTTATCTCTCCAGGAGCGCTGCTGACAGGGCAGGCCTGGGCTTGTGCCGGGCTGCGCTCTGCCCTGTGCGCAGCTCCGCTTTCCTCCACAGCCGCTTTTCTTCAGGAGGGTTTCGTAGAATCCCAGGATATGAGGAGCTGGAAGGAACCTGCAAAGCTGATCCAGTGCAACCCCTGCCACAGCAGGATCACCAGAGCAGGCACACAGGAACACGGCCAGGGCTTTGGGTGTCTCCACACAAGGACACTCCACAACCTCTCTGGGCAGCCTGGGCCATGCTCCATAACCCTCACACTCACAAAGTTTCTATTCATCTGCAGCTTGAACCTCCTGTGCTCCAGCTTGGGACCATTGCCCCTTGTCCTGGCATTGGCCATCCCAGAGCAGAGCCTGGCTCCTTCCTCCTGACACTGCCCTTTCCCAATGGATCCCCAGGAATGAGGGCACCCCTCAGTCTCCTCTGCTCCAAGCTCCAGAGCCCCAGCTCCCTCAGCCGCTCCTCAGCAGGAGATGCTCCACTCCCTCCAGCATCTCTGTGGCCCTGCTGGACTCTTTCAAGCAGTTCCTGTCCTTCCTGACCTGAGGGCCCAGAACTGAACACAATATTCCAGATGAGGTCTTACCCAGGTTTGGGTGGCCACCAGAGGCCTGGGCTAGTTGAGGTCCCCTGTTTTGTGATGGTATGGGCACCTGAGGCCCTTGGACCACCTCTGGAGAAGGTGCTCGTCCTCCCATTGAGCCTGAGCCCCAGAGACTGTGACCTTGGCCCAGCGCAGGTTGTCCCCTGGTGCTACCCCAGAACTAATGGCAGGTGAACCCCAGCCTCAGGCTGTCTGAGATGCCACCAGAGACCGGCTGTCAGGTTTGCCCTGGCATCTCATCATGCAGTGATGCGACGTAGGGCTGCAGCCACTGCTGCTCTTAAACACCGGTGTCATCTCCACATTTGGTTGACAAGGGATCAAACAAGTCCTTGCTGCCTGTGTGTTTTAGTAGATGCTTGCTTGAATTTTGGTGGTGGTGTGGCAATAGCAGATGGGCAGGTTTCCATCTCCAAGCATGGATGGGAACTGGGCTGTACTGGTCCCAGTGCTAACCCAGGGAACCTGCTGTGGCTCTGACCACACAAGATGCACCACTTCTCTACTGCTGTCATTTGCCACGATGGTTTTGGGGCTTGCATGCAGGAAAGCGAGTAAAGACTGTGCCACATGAGCCTTGTGAGCCTGTCTGTGTCTGGCTCAGTCTGGGGGATGATATGTGGTGGTCACCTGTGCCTCTGTCTGGGTGTTGAGTGCCCAGTGTTCCCATCTGGGCTGTGTAATGGCTTGGGCTTGCAGGGGGTGCATGGTATGGGGTCCAAAAAAGGCTTGATCTGAGATTTGTGCTGTGGCCGAGGTAGCACTGCAGGCAGGTCTTTGTAATCAGCACTCTCTGCTGTACCCAGTGAAGCCAAGCTTAGATCACATCATTTCTGCTGGTCTGTGGCTCGTCACAAACTGCTAATTTTGATTGCACGGTCCGCTCCAGTGCAGCAGGCTGCCCGTGTACCTGCGGATCAGGCGCTGCCAAGGGTTTTCTGATCTCTGTCGTCTCTGTGGGCAAAGGATCGCTGCAGATGGGAAGAGATTTCTTGCACAAATGCTGGTTTGGGATTTGCTGTTAGCTCCGTGCTAAGCCTCCAGACAGACTTTGGACCAAGTTAACTGGGTGATACTTAGCTCAGTGAATTCTTTGTAAAATCTTGAACAAACCAGCAAAGACTGTCAATGGTAATCACGGTGATTAGATCAGATCCCTGCAGGGTTTCAGCCTCCCCAGAGTAAACATCTGCTTTCAATAGCGAGGTGCTGCACATTAGGCAGACTGGGCCTCAGTCCAACGGAATGTCATTGTTTACTGCTTTTCCTATGCATCTTCCTTTGCTTTTCAATCCATACCGTGCTGTACTTTTGTGTGTACCCTTCTTTTGTTTCTTTTCAGCCATGTAGTAGGAGTATGCATTGTGGTTGCTCAGTATTGAGTGCTTCTGTTGCTTGTTATTGAATGCTGGCTCCGGTGTCGTTCCAGTTAAGCTCTATGTACCTTTTGTCTTTGAAAATCAATGGAGAGCAAATTAAAAAAAGGACTAGTTTTCCTGGTACCTTTCATTTAAAACAAAAATATTGCATTTATGTTTGCTCGTGAAGAGAGAGGTTTCTAGGGAGGCCGGTCTGGGAGACAAAATATGGTTTGTGCTTTTAATAAGCATCAGGAACCGTGGGTTTTATGTTTTTCCTGTAGAAAACCTTGGGTATTTCATAGGCACTCTCATCTAAACAGAAAAACAATATTCCAGGGCATTGCCTTGTTTACAGCAGATGTTGCCTTGTGCTGCAGAGTCTTGATTTGCAAACAAGTCAAGGGTCTTGGGAATTCTCCCGAGATCTTTTGGGGGAAATAGGTAATATTAGCCACCACGGGCCATGTGTGCTGCAGATGTGGCAGTACAGCTAGGAGGAAGCACCTGAGGTGGCCCACTGCTAAAACCTTCCTGTCAGGAGCGAGGGCCGTGGTTGGAGACGGGCCATGTGTGCTGCAGATGTGGCAGTACAGGTAGGAGGAAGCACCTGAGGTGGCCCATTGCTAAAACCTTCCTGTCAGGAGCAAGGGCTATGGTTGGAGATGTGTGGTGATAGCAGGAAAAATCAGATTGAAGCAAGTTCAGACTCCGCAGGGACTTGGGAAGATGCTGAGGTCTTGTTTGTTCAAAGGCTGCACTGAGCTGTGACCCTTGCGGAATTGGATTTGCCAAAGACGAAGGTTTGCTTAAGTTCCCTTAAAACAGGAGAGAAAAAAAAAAGCAACACACTGAAAATAATTGAGTTTCTGGTGCTTTAAAAGCTTCTTAATGTTCTTCAAGTTCTTTTTTTTCTGCAAAAGTACGTCCTTTTGATTGCAGTTCAGGCTTAGCACAGTACAGTACATCTTGCCACAGAATGAGTAAATGAGCTCTGTTCTGCAGCTGCTATTGAATGACGATGTTGGAGCATGCCTTGGCTTATCAGCGAGGCTGCCTAATGTATTCCAGCCTACCTGAGCCTGCTCTGCTGCAGCAAACCCAATTAACTGTTTTGGTACCTGCTGTATGAATGGTTTCAGCAGTCATCACAGAATGTCAGGAGTTGGAAGGGCCCTGCAAAGCTGATCCAGTGCAACCCCTGCCACAGCAGGATCACCAGAGCAGTCACACAGGAACACGGCCAGGGCTTTGGGTGTCTCCACACAAGGAGACTCCACAACCTCTCTGGGCAGCCTGGGCCATGCTCCATAACCCTCACACTCACAAAGTTTCTCCTCATCTTCAGCTGGAGCCTCCTGTGCTCCAGCTTGGGACCATTGCCCCTTGTCCTGGCATTGGCCATCCCAGAGCAGAGCCTGGCTCCTTCCTCCTGACACTGCCCTTTCCCAATGGATCCCCAGGAATGAGGGCACCCCTCAGTCTCCTCTGCTCCAAGCTCCAGAGCCCCAGCTCCCTCAGCCGCTCCTCAGCACGAGATGCTCCACTCCCTCCAGCATCTTTGTGGCCCTGCTGGACTCTTTCAAGCAGTTCCTGTCCTTCTGGAGCTGAGGGCCCAGCACTGGACACAACATTGCAGCTGTGGTGTGAGCAGGGCAGAGCAGAGGGGCAGGAGAACCTCTCTGCCCTCCAACCACCCCTTCTCATCCACCCCAGGATGGCGTTGGCCTTCTTGCCTCCAGGGCACATTGCTGGCTCATGGGCATTGCTGCCACCAACAAGTTATGGGGGCTCTTCATTCTGTAGCATTTCAGTGTGCCCTGGCCATTTCTCGCACACCCCTGGCTCTCTGCAGCACAAGGAGCACACCAGGAGCTCGCCACAGCACAGCCTGGCGAGGCGGCTCATGAGCAGAGCGTGGCTCATTAGCTTTACACTCATTAGTTCCTAAAAGCCTTCTGAATCAGATTTGGGGGCATGAAGAAGAGATTTACAGTCTATCCTACCAGTGTGACAGAATGTTCCTAGTCAGAAAAAGAGAAAATGGGCCTCTCTGGACCATTCGAAGGGGTTTTATTGTTTAGCTGTTGTTTTTCAAGATGCCTCAAACTATTTGGCTTTGTGATTGTCTGTTATCTTCAACTCAGTCCTCCCACAAAAGGGCAAATACCTGCTTTTACTGAATTATTAACAACAATAGATGGAGCTTATGTATCAATGAAAATTATAGACGTTTCCCAAGGCGATTGATTTAAACGGAGTTAAATTTAGTGGAAGCTTCTACTGGTGTAATGAACGCTCATTATAGAGCCTAATGTGCTTTAAGGGCTTGAAAACCTTCTCAGTAGGGAAGTCAGGCTGCTGTTTTCCAGCAGTGGCACAGATGCTGCACCGTGGCACTGCTGTCACTGTGTCCGTACCCCACCGCTCCGTCCCAACGTGTCTAACCTTGTGGGTTTTTTCCTCTTGCAGAAGACCACCTCCCAGCCGGCTTCCCGACCATCGACATGGGCCCGCAGCTGAAGGTGGTGGAAAAGGCCCGCACGGCCACCATGCTCTGCGCTGCCAGCGGTAACCCCGACCCCGAAATCTCCTGGTTCAAGGACTTCCTGCCCGTCGACACCGCGACCAGCAACGGGCGAATCAAACAGCTCCGCTCGGGTAAGGGAGCAAAGCAAGTAAGCCTTCCCTACCTCCTCACTCCTCCTCCCTTTTCTCTTTACTTGCTGTTATTATTTTTTGGCTGAGACGCAGTTCTGAAACAAAATGTCCATTTGATTTGAGCTTTGTTTCTTTTACTATATAAACCCAGTTTTTGGAGCTGATCCTCTCTGGCAGGATATCGTGGCTTCTTAAAAGGAGACATTAGCATGGACGTGCCTTTTGGGACACCACCTGGATTCCCTCTTCGATAGACCAGCTTGACATTGCCCCAGATCCTTGGTAGGCTCAGACTTCTCACTCCCAACTCAGCAGGGCTCAGATGCTGTTAATGGGAGCACAGCACAAACCAGGACAATTTGATACTGGTTGAGATTTTACAGCCAGTGGTCACGTACTGCTTCACTCCTTACATGGACTCTGCAGCATGGTGCTCTGCTTTCCCTTGAGATCTTTGTCATTCTTGCTGTGTGACACCACGAGAATAAAAATCCAAGAAGCAGCAATTCTCTGGATTTCAAAGGAAGGTGGACACAGTTTTGAAATACACCGTTTCCTTTTGATTTTTTGTGTGTTTGATAAGCCAATTACCAGCTTTTGAAAAGCAGACGGTTGGTTCTTGTGGGTGGCTAAGAATGCACTCATTTTAGTGAGGAACTCTTGTTTTAATGCTGCACTGTTCGGTCTCCCAGGACTGTGAGACCCATTAGAGAATTAAAGAAAATAAACCATTGCTTTATTCACTGATGAAGTGCAGCTCCCCAGCGTGAGTTGCAGCGGCTGTTTAACAATGTACAGCAGCACTACACAGCAGCTTTAGTCTGCAGAAAAAAGCCCACAGTACCCTACAGGATGTACAGAAGGGAATAGAGATGGAAAGACTTGGGTCTAGAAAGGTCTCGCACTTAAATAAATCACACGCACAGAATGTGAGGAGCTGGAAGGGCCCTGCAAAGCTGATCCAGTGCAACCCCTGCCACAGCAGGATCACCAGAGCAGTCACACAGGAACACGGCCAGGGCTTTGGGTGTCTCCACACAAGGACACTCCACAACCTCTCTGGGCAGCCTGGGCCATGCTCCAGAACCCTCACACTCACAAAGTTTCTCCTCATCTTCAGCTGGAACCTCCTGTGCTCCAGCTTGGGACCATTGCCCCTTGTCCTGGCATTGGCCATCCCAGAGCAGAGCCTGGCTCCTTCCTCCTGACACTGCCCTTTCCCAATGGATCCCCAGGAATGAGGGCACCCCTCAGTCTCCTCTGCTCCAAGCTCAAGAGCCCCAGCTCCCTCAGCCGCTCCTCAGCAGGAGATGCTCCACTCCCTGCAGCATCTTTGTGGCCCTGCTGGACTCTTTTCGAGCATTCCTGTCCTTGTGGAACTGAGGGGCCCAGAGCTCACACAATATTCCAAATGCACTCTCAGAGGCAGACTTGCCTGGCCATGGTGTATTTCTGGGCACTCAAAAGCCAGTTATTACAAGTGCTGCTGCCAGGGCAACACCATCTTCCTCCTAGCAAGGTGAGCGCCTTGACACATTTCCCTATGGCAGGAGCCCTCTGCATAAATCTGATGATGCTTGGATGATAAGAAGTAGGCTTGTACTTGGGGGAGTGGGTAATGAGACATCGCTCTCATCAAAAATAGAACCCAGCCTGACACTCCTGATCCCACCTTGATGTAGCAGCGAGTGCTAATTATACTAATGCGTTTATAGCTTATGAAATTTCCCAGTGACCTTTAGCTTATCTCCCCCACAACATGGTTTAATCTTGATCTGTTTGTGCTGAGAGAAAATATCACACTTGTTAATTATTCTGAGAAGCTCTAGGAAGCAGCAGTAGGAAAGTGCACATGGATGCGTTTCACTTCGTAGCTGACTTAATCTGCATCAGAAAGTGCCACAAATGAGCAGCAAGGCAGCTCCTGATGCACTTGCTGTACGTTCTCCAGCCTCCTCCTTGCAGGCACTTGGCTGCCTCTCTACCAGCTGCTTCACAAGTTTAGTGCGATAGAAAGTTTAAAAACAATCTAGTAAACCCTGTCACTGTGGCCAAGTTTTGCTGCTTATTCGCTGTTCTTGAGCAAGATCTCAATTGAATATTTCACCTGGGATTCAAACTCTAGAGCTGGCTGCTTGCTGAAGACACAGTAATTACCAAGGGAGGTGTCAAGGGAACCTTTCAGAATTCAATGAGCAGCACACATCCTCAGACTTGTGAAAGAAATTGATTGGCTCTTTAATGTAGTAAGGGAGGTTTCCGCAGTTCAATGCAAGAGACTTCCAAATATGAGTGAAGTTGTCTTTTCAGGGACCTGGTGACACGATGCCAAGATTCACCAAGGCTCTGCTCCTCCCTGGAACGAGCAGGGAGCGAGTTTACTGCTTCTCATGGGGCACAGATTCAACCCCTGCTCGCATTTGTGGCCTTTCCCTGTATTTGTAGTTGATATGAAGTAGGGCCTGCACTTTGAAGTGCCCGAGTCCCGCTTACCTGACTGCAGTCACCCCATGTGAGCAATGCGATGGGTTGGGCAGTCTCTGATCCATTCTGCAAGGTGCTAATTGAGCTCTCCAGCCCTGTGCCATAGTGGGGCAGGGTTGTTTTTCAGAGAAAAGAGTATTTAAATAGAGACCTCATTATGCGGGTGAGTTTAATAGTTTGCAAAGTCTCTGCTCCATTAAGATAATATCTTACAGCCAGCCTGGCATATCTGCATGAATGTCAGTTTATACAATCTCAATCTAAATATATGCTCATTTAATTTCATTTAATTAAAACCCAATAAAAGCTAGACAGATGTAATATAGTTAAAATAGCTACAGCACGATGTGAGCCCAATATTGCCTATATGGAGCGTCCGACCTTCAAGGAGTACATAGTATATTGTTATTCAGAGGTACTAAACAGAGGTCAGAAAGGTCAAAGCAGCTTTGGAGTCTGACTTGAGAGGGGGTTGAGAGCTGGTTTCATTTCTTCAGGGCTCCTGGTGAGGAATAAATAACTGGAGGTGAAGCAGCAGCTTGGGAAAGGTGCTCTCTTGTGCCACTCACCGTTGTGTCAATCCTCAGGGGTCTCCAGGCAGGACTTTTTGAACTTGTGTGCAGCCAGACCACGTGCCTAGCGGGCTCTGAACATCAGTTTCTAGAGGTCTGTTCATCTTCTGTCCAGGTACCAGAGAGTTTGTGGCTTAAGACAACCAAGCCGTCATCTCAGGCTCTTTTAACCCCAGAGGAGTGGTGTTTTTGTCAGGAGCAAATACACAGTTTATCAATCTGCCCTGCATCCTCATTTACCAATTACATCCATATGTATTTTTCTCATTAAACCTTCCGACAGCATAAGTCTCTCCATTTAAAGAACGTTTTTTTCCCCTTTCACCCCAGTACATGGATCTTTCCTCCCAGGTAATGCTGAATTCTTTTTAAAGTCCAGCTCTTGGGTAGTTTTGCCAGTATGTGTTGGGCTAATTGCTCCAGAGATGAGAACACAAATAAATACATGTTTTCATCTCTCTTATCACAGATCAAGGCAGAAGCAAGGTCTCTGACTCATGCTGGTTGTACCAAAATTCTCCCTTGCTCATCTTGCCAATGCTTCCCACCGCTTTTCTGCAAATGCAGTGGCTCAGGACAGCTCCCTGCTCTCCCACAGGGTCCATAGCTTCAGTCATTGCCTCTCAGTCGTTGACACAGGATCTAAGGCCAGCTCTGGGCTGGGCTGGGAAACCTCCCCAGCATGTTAACTCATTTAAAACCTGTTCAACTGAACTGATTTTAAAACTGTCTGGACACTGTGGTATTGCAGGCGATGTACATACGAGTTCTGGCAGCAAGAATCAGTGCTGCACCTCTAACCATGTTTTAAAATCATTTGATGACAGGGCATAAAGTATCTCAACATAGATCAGATTGTACTGATGCTTCACAGTTCTTCCATAAGGGTTCTTGGATCACAGGCTCCTGAAGACTTCAAAGCCTCCTCTGATGGTGTTCGTACTTTCAGAGCTCTTGAATGTTTCCATTGAGTTTCATAGTTGAAAAATTGCTTTTCCATCTTCTGAACAAAATATCAAATTAGAATAAACAAATACTCTGAATGTTAACATACAGCTATCTTTGCTGTGTAAGGCAACTCCAGAAATTCAGGAGTTGGTGTTATCTTTCATCTAGTAAAGAACTTGGTCTTACAACAAGTACCATTCGCTTTTAATCACCATCCATTAACTGAGTTACGGATCCATGCCCTAGACCCTTGTGTGGCTTTCAGGCAATTAACTGCAAATAAAGTATCAGAGAGGGCTCTGCTAGAGACTTCAGTCGCTCACTGCCACAGAAGTGTAGGTGTCCCTAATGAAGCAGTGGGAGCCGGCTCACCAGATCATCTCGCTGCGTTTACACACTCAGAGTTACCAGCAAGGACTTCAATTTTAGTCTTGATCCTATAGGTAGAAGCAGTACTTATCTGGAAACAAGAGAAATACCCAACCTATAAGGAAGAAACTTGAAAAAAGAGGTGCCTGTCCCAGTGAAATGACAGTAACAGCCACATCCTGCTTGGCTGGTAGCAGCCAGCAGTCAGTGCCCAGCAGAAGACATCCTGCTCCCGGCAAGGAACAGCTTTGGCTCCAGACATCAGATGGGCATTGACGTGGGACAGGGTGTGTAAGGACAGCCCAAAAGAATGAGGATTGGAGAGCGTTATCCAGAAGGATCAGGAAATGGAAACAGAGATGGATGCTCTCTCAAAAAGGACCGGCCAGACGAGGGTTGAAGCAATAGCACTGCCAACCAGTTGACAACTGAAGTTTTATATCCTGGAAGAACCTGTACTGCACATCCTGGTCTTGCTGTGTGAGGCTCACACAGACTCCCAGTTGCAACTGGTGGCAAATAGCCAGGCTCTTTTGTAATCCTTTCACTTCTGGAGATACTTTCCCCTAAAACTGTGTCAGGAAGGAGTGGAAAGCTCTGTCGGAGCTCTCTGGGGTCCAGTGTTGCATTGCACTGATGCCCAGTTATGCCCAGCAAAAGCCTTGGTTTCTCTGTTTGTTGTTGCTTTGGTGTGATGTCGTGGTGGGTTAGGTTCCTACAAGAAAGTGGGGTGTTGGTAAATCTGGAGTGAGTTCGTGTCAGCAGAGTGAAGTCCCTTCTCTCTTCCACACTGGATGCAAATAGCTGGTTTCCAGTGCATTGCCCTATGTTTTGCCTTGTTTTGGGTGCCTGGCTGAGGATGTCAGGGCCAGCATCTGTTCCTGACTGAAGTGAATGTAAGGGGTGTTATTCAGTGTCTGTTATGGAGGGGAAACGTTTCTTCCTTAATGAGTGTTTCAAACCTTTCAAACCACACAAGGAACTGGATTTAAAGTTTGATCCTGTGGTGCCCTTTGCATAAAGGTGATCACAGGGCATAGGTTGGCCTCAGTGCCCATTCAAGTGGATGGACATCCATCACTTGATGGACTCCTGTGTTGGCACTCTGTGGCCCATGAACCTTGGTCTCTTTGAGGGACACCCTGAAAGGAAAACAGCCCAAGGTGCATTCTCATGTGGTATGAAGGGCGAATGGGAACTTTGATTTCTTCTGGATGATGAAATTTGGGGTCCAACAGCAAAGCCTTGTGCTCTCTCCATAATGATGTCCTCTGGGGGAAGAGTGAGTGTCTTAACTTTGCAGAGGTGAGCGAGACCCAGAACAAAACACGGCGCTAAATACAGCGAGCCTCTGTGCTGCTCCCACAAGGGTTGGCTCACATTTGGAGGTCAGGAGGGTTGGGATTTAAGGCAGGAAGAAGAAATGAGCTGGTCACACTTCTGTTTTAGGGAATCTCCTTCAAGTGTGAAGCTGATCCTAGACCTCTTTGTAGACAACTGTGTATTAGAGAAAGAGTTTAGCCTCTACAGGGAATAGATTTAAAGATTTGCTGCGAGTCTTTTGAGGTCTAGGGCAGAACAACAAACCCTGTTTCAGCCAGATGACAGAGAAGGAAGTCCTGGTTTTGCCCCTCGGGCTTGTGCTCAAAGTCATTGCCCCGTTCCCATGGGAAGTAACGCAATGTGGTGATGCTTTTCTTAATGCTGAGAACTGGAGCAGGGGGTGGGATGTGAGTGGGGAGACCAAACAGAACAAAAATATCCCTTGGCAAACTTTCCAAACAGGCAAAGAGAAATAACCCTGTTTTCCATGGCTGCGCTATTCCATACGGGTATCTGTGGGTATAACTGTTCTGTCAAGGGTAGCGATAGTAACTAAGATAGATAAATAAGCAGCAGATTTATTATTGCAAGGAGAGAGATTACCCACAGCTTCAGTCACTACAGGATCTTTCCTGATGCTTCAGTCATCTGTGGATAGAAAGCGCCGGAAAATATAGGCAGCCATAAAGTTGAAATGGGGTAATGTCATCTTGGCAGAGGAAGATGCTAAAATGAGTAGCTTGAATTGCTGCTCCCGCTTAAAGAAAGGCCTCTGCCTAAAGGAAGGGTAGTTAGAAAAAGGGTACGTATAAATATTGTAATTCCTTTTTAAGAGGCAAGTTAAACATGCTTAAAATATGCCTTCTTTGTATTTACAGAAATTCTTTTCTGTCTTTCTTTCCCATTGGGTGAACATTGTTGTGGATAATGGAATGAGCTGTAAATCTGAGATACACGGCACTCTTGTATGCATACTGGTATTTATTAATCAATACACTGAACATGATTTGACACACTGTGTCCTGTTTAACCCTGTTTTTCTGTCTGTTTAAACTCCTCAGTTTTCTTTGGTAAGTGCTTGGTATTCAGATCCTACAAATCTGCATAAAACCAACACATACCATGAACTGCCTACAGATTCGATCTGCATGAATCTCTCCCTTATACTAACAGCCTTCATATGTGCAAAATAAGACCAAGGGGACAAAAATGGGGATTAGAAGGGAGGGTTCCCTGCCAATTTGCCCAGCTGGAGCATCAAACCCTTCAATCCTGCTTGGTTATTGATTGTGCACTGAACTCAAGACACTGACCAGTGGATCCTCCACTTGCTAAACCAACCTCGATAGATGCTTGCAACAGGATAACTTAACCTCACTCCCAGAGAAGCCCTCCTTATAAGATACTCTTCATTACAGCATGTAAAATTATCTCCAGTGCCTTATAAAGAGGGTAGGGATCCCTTTCTCCAACTAGCATCCAAATGAGGCAGGATCGACCGAGGTCTGGCTAGCGTGCCATTGGTACATTACCAGAAACGACTTCGTTTCGAAAGATTTCTGTATGTAAAGTTAATTCTGCATGACACCAGTTTCTTTGCCAGAGGGAACCTGATGCAAGAGTTCTGTGAATGCGGAGAACGGCTCAAAACCGATTTGTTACGCTCTCCCCGTAGTTTGATTTCTTTAAGAGAGCAGATTTTGTCCCACTGGTCATTCTAACCTCAAAGCAAAGCTGCACCTAGCGCCCGCACCCATGCGCTTTCCACCCCCCCCTGCCCAGCCCACTCACGGTCACACAGCCCCCAGGACACCCCCTCCTTGTTCTGAATGAGGAATGCAGGGGCACTGCACCATCTTCCCAACGTGTCCTCCATCTCAACTGCTTGAACAGGGCTGTGGGCGAATGCGAGTGGCAGCCAGCAGTGCCACCTCAGCAGTGCCACCTCAGCAGTGCCACCTCAGCAGTGCCACCTCAGCAGTGCCACCTCAGCAGCTTACTTTGGCCCCCGTTCACCAGGGTGGTGGCTTTGATGGCAAGATGCAGGGCTGGATGCTGCACTCCTGGAAGCGATGAGCTTTACTAACCTCCTGAGAGTGTCACTCTGACTTTTATTGCACATCAGTTTCTTTTTGTTTTTCCTTTATTCCTGTCGCGCTAATACGAACTCTAGCTTTAAAAAAAAACAAACAAACTTTCTGCTTTTTAGTTATGATTTTCTTCCTTTCCTCTTTGTACTAATGCTTCTCTCTAATCTTATTTGCATTCAAATTACCTCACCAGGTGGTACACCGATCAGAGGTAAGAATGCTGAAATGTGCCTCCAGTTGTCACGTCACTCCATCTCCTGTCTGCCTTTGTCCCTTCTCCTCTGGTGTTTCTCATCCTCAGCTTTTACTCTCAGCCCTAACTCTGCCAAGCGCTCTCGCTCATCCGCACTCTCCCACTGGTGTGTTTCTTTTGGTTGGTTTTTTTCCGCGTGGTTTCTCGTAGACTTCATCCATCGCGGTTTTTGCACTGTTGGAAGGGGGTTATTCAACGGAAAGTTTGCAAACTGGGACAGGGTCCCTGGCCCTCGCCACTGGGGGGTCGACGTCTCCTGCAAGTCTTGCACAGTTGAGGTTTTGTGTCTAGGGGGGATTTAGATGGGTTGCTTTGGTGTAAGTGTCAGGAGGTAACATTTTCACAAGAGAACACTCCAATTCTTCGCTGCTGCTGCTGCTGGGCGTGAAATTATAATCAGAAAGACATTAATTCTTGAAAGTTTGAGCAAATCTGGCTCTGGGATCAGGAGCGCCTTTGCTTGCGTTCCTCATGTTTGCCTTTCAAGTGTGCTAACCCTCTAAATGTGGCGGTAGAGTGGGGAACTGCTGCCCCAAACCCCCTTTTCTGAGCCGGACGTGCCGATGTTGCTTTGCTTTTAAGTAGATGAATCAGAAGCACTTCTGGCTGCTTTAAGCCTTCATTAATTAAACCCACTCCTGCTTTGACAGCCCGGTGTGCTCAGTCCCTGGCCGGTTCTCACAGCCTGTATGCACCAGTAATGACTTTCCAATTGGAGTGTTGTTTTTTCTAGCCTAAACACTCAAAGCTGTCCCTTTAGATTAACTTTACCGCGTTAACCAGCATTACGTGCTAAGGCCCTTCTGAATTCTCTTGTGATTTTGGTTACCCCTGTTGACTGACCCCTGGGTTTCTCGACAGAATGAGTACCACCTAAAATCAACATGACCTCATTCGTTCAGTTTTCCCCCTTCTCTCCCCTTTCCTCCCCCCCTTTTCCCTGAATCACTGCTGGAAGTTAATAATCTGACTCTTTGGAACTGGTTCTGTTGCTGGGGGTTAATGTTTTCAGCTCCCGTTAAGTGATTTTAGAGTAAATGTGAATTGCCGTTTGATGCGTATTTGCATTAAGTTGCCTCTGTAGCAAATCTGGGTCAGGGGAAAAAAGACTGCAAACCTTATTTCGCTATGAATGGGTTTATATATCTGTCATTCCTCCCTTTGGAACCCTGGAGATTGACAGCTGTGATGTTACAAGCTCCTTAAACTATTTCTTCATCTCCTGTTTCTGCTGGAAACCCTAAACCGCAATGACAGATTGAATACTAACGAGCCGGGCGCTCCGAGCGCGCAGCCATCCCGCCCTGTCTGATGACATTAGTGACTCAGCACCAGAACCGCCTGGATGCTCCATACGTCCTGCTTGGGAACCGACCGCATCTCTGTGGAAAGAACCATCCATCTCATAACACATCAGTTCCTCACACCCCCCCCACCCCAAACCCCGCTCCCCACCCCCGTTTGAGTCCCGATGAGGTATTTGCAGAATGTTCTTGACGTGATTTCAAATACATGTGTCCTGTTTGAATGTCAAAGATGACATTTCTGTGCGAGCAAACAGAAGCCACGTGCCGCTCTCTGGCTTCTCCCAGAGGATTTCTGTCAGCCTAATGCCTTTTATTTAAAACGGAGGTCATTGAATTGCTAAAGATAACGACAGATTAGATGAAAGTGCTTTTATGATGGTGAGGTTGTGTCCATGTAGAAGTGACTGTTCTGCCATGTTCTATACCCAGCTGCACTCTTGTTCCTCATTAAGGTAAGTTTGATGCTTTGGAATCCATTAATTTGGTCTGAAAGGAAGGGTGAACTAATGACTCTTAAAGAACCCTTTCGGTAATAATGTTTGGGGTGGGAAGGGGTGGTTTTGGTTTGATTTAATTGCTGCTGTGACTGTGTCGCTAGGAGTTTTGTGTCTGGATCGAGCGTTACCCAAGGCCCTCGTGCCGAGAGAGCGACCTGAGAAATTCCACCACGCGCCCCTCCAAACAGGAGGAGGTTTTTCTCTCTAAACGCCTCATTTAACCTTACCCCCGCATATTTGGTCCTTTCTGTCTAAGCCATCTCTGGCTTCCCTGAAATGGGAGGAGCTCCCATCTATAATTCAGAATCTCAGCTTGTATCTTCACTCTTTGCCCCTCCGGGACTGGCCCAGATGGTAATTTAATCTGAAAACCCCTATTTGTTCATCAGAAAGGCACGGAGCTAGCAGATGCCCATCAGATTAGGCCGTAGCTATCTGCTTCAGGTGACCCACAGATAGTATCAGTCAGCAAGGCCATGTTTAAGCAAGTTCTGCCCCATTCTTACTTTCAAAGCAGAGTATGAGATGTTCGTTTCCAGCATTTATCTGGAATTGAAACTGTTCAACATTTTGGGAAACCTGGCTGCGTTTTCCTGCCCGGGGCTGCAAGAGAAAGCAGAGCACGGTTGTGTTTCTGGAGGGTGCTGGCCTGAACAGGCATTAGATCGGATGCACATGAGGAGGTAAAGGAATATCATCATCTCAGGCATTATCCGTCTCCAGTCAGATGTGTTTGTTACTTTTCTGTCACCACAGGAAATAGCTGAGGTTCCTGTATACAGGGGTATTTCTTCCCTGCAGAGGTCTGTCTGAATTCGCTTTAGATCAGCTCACTTGGGTGTCAGAAGCTGTCTGTCTGGGAAGCCAGGTAAACACCCACATCGCCTGTATAGCTGCAGCTGAACCTTTTCCAGTCCAGAGCAAACTGGTTTAAATATAGCTCCAGTATTTCAACACTATCCTGCAAGCTGGAGCATAAAGCTATCCTGAGCGATTAGAGGAAGCGAAAAGATTCTGCTGTCTCTTTTTTTGAGGGTGTGTTTGTACATTTGATTGCGCTCTGTACATGAGAGGATTTTTTTCCCCTGTTTCTTCAGCTTTTCCAGTCACAGAAAAAGGTGAAAGGAGAACAATTTTAAAATGAGAAGATATGCTTGTAGAAGCAGACAGTGTCAGGGGGAGGTTGAGTAGAGTAGTGCCTGGAAATGTTTGTAATGCCATGTTGCTCGCTGTCGGCATTCGGATTGACTCGTGTCCCTTTAGAAGCACACCAAGACACTGCTGCGCGCTTGACAGTGCTGTAGTTTGGCTTCTGATGCAGAGTCCCCTGAGGTTTCCTGTGCCTGTTGGTGAGAGATCAGAGCATCCTGAAACTGTCCGAGAGGAGGCCTGGTGCTGCCGAGCACGCTGGGTCTCCCGTCCTCCCTCTCTGCCCACGTCCGGCTCGGTGGCAGCGGCGAGGTGCCATCAGCAGCCGCCTCTGGTGCACGGGAGAGCCATTTCTCAGCAGCTCTGCCATCCAGAACAGGCCCCTCGCATGCCAGTCACCGGCCCCCCAGGCATAATGACCATAATGAGCGCTAACGTTGGAAAGATATTTGTAGTTATCTTGTTTTGCATAATTGGCAGGGCTGATGGCTGGTGGAGCCTAGGTGCAGTCCTCTGTTACAGCTGGGAGATGCTGCTGTTATATATTACAGAAATAGTGAACATGGGAAATGCTTATTTCCATTATTAGTGACTCTCCTGTGGGGTTTTGGTGTCTTTCAGTTCTTTCACAGCTCCATGGCAAGCGCTGGTTATCTCAGACAGCAGCCAGGGTGTCAAAGTCCAACTCCCTCATTCCCAGGACTTTGCGGTGTCTCTTTCTCCACTGGGTCCTTGTTTGGTCTGGGCTTGGACCAGATTTTATTAGGAGGGTTCTACTTCTCTAGGAGAGAACTTTTAGCAGCAGGGGGATTGGGACCCACACCTGAGCGCTGGCTGAAGGGGTGACTAAGGATACTGCTACAGGAAAGGTCAGGCGGTGTTTCTGTGGAGGAAGCTGATGGGAGGTGGGGGGAAAGAGAAGGAGGGGAATTGGGGTGGCAGGATGGTCCAAATTGACCTGTTTCCTGAGAGGAAGGGCCCTGGTCAGGCAGCTGGGTTCATTAACAGCCGGGTTCCAAGTTCTTTCCTTAGAGGAGTGCAGTGCCTGCAGCCTGGTTCCCCTGACTCCTGGGTACTTTTGTTCCATGTCTAATTTTATGAGCAGGGCAAAAGGTCAGTCCCCACCTCAGAGCCGAGGGGGCTGAGGCTGCGAATGCCCTGCTAGAGAAACGGAGCCTTTCCCATTGCTGAGGATGGAGCTCCGACCTGAATAGATAGAGATGAGCATTACCCCGAGAGCTGCTGTGTCTCTCTGGGAAAAGAGAGCACGAGCACCCGGTGAGCTACAGAGCGGGATTTCAGCGAGATCAAATTGTATGGCAGCTTGGAGCTTTTTACATTTGGTTTTGTCACCTGGAGGAGCGAGTGACAAGCCCTCTGTGGCACAACAGTACCCAGCGCTGCCAAGACGCGGCCCTTATCAGGACCTGCCTTCCCCATGCTCTGTGCAGGGCACTTTTTAAATGCTTCTTTTAACCACTGTCACTTCAGCTAATGATTCTGCCGGAGCACAACTATATTTGAATAGATAAGTATCTTGGAGAGCTGCTACCGAGGCTGCTGTCTGTGCCTGAGTTTAAAGAGCAAAAGAAAAAGCTAGGAGAGGAGGGAAGGGACTGGCAGGGAGATACCAGCAGGGAGTAAAGAACCTGTAAGGGATGCTTGTCAGTCAGCAGGGCCAGCTCCTGCCCTCAGCCCCAGAAAGCTCTGCCTTGTCACCGCTCTCCCTGGCACTGGAGAGCAGCCAGGGGTTTTTCTCAGGAGCTGTCAGCTCTCTGATAAGCCAAGCTGTATTATCAGGAGCAGATCTGAGCCGCGAGCGAGACTGACGTGACATGGCAGCGTGGTGAGGAATGGCTGCCCCTCTTCTCCTGGAGCCCTGCTGTGCTTCAGGGTGCTTGGGGGGCAGCGGTGCTCAGCAGGGGGAGGTTTCGTTCTGATGCACGCACAGTGCTGCAGAGCCCCACAAGCTCCCAAACAAGCTGTTCACTGCTCCTCTCTGTACACATATGCCCATCCTGATGGTGTTTGGTCCTCATGCATGCACTGAAGCCGTGCTATCTGGGTGCACGTCAGGACTCAGCCATGCAAGCGAGAACAAAGCACCTGGCACCGTAGCACTCGAGGAGCCCCTATGAGAAGTCTGCAGTAACACCCTGTGTGAACAAGACCTTACTCAGCAACTTGTGCAGCATAAATCCCAAAGTAATGAATAAAAGTAAATCAGCCTTCCTAGCCCTGGTTTGCAGAGGCGCAGAAGATTACAAGATGAGATGTTGACAGGGCTGGGAATAGAAATTGGGTCCTTTGCACTTGTCAAAGCAAAGAATTCACTGCGCTTTTGAGGAGCTTTGGATGCGGCTTCCGTGAACTTCAGGGGAGGAGGAGCTGCTCAGGTCTCAGCTCTTCCTTTCCTGCAGCTCCTTGTGTCCTGTCCAGCCTGGACTTGAACCCTCCAAGAGATGAAGCTATTGCCTTTCTCTGGGTTGACTGAACTATGGCCTGGGGCATTTTACGCTTAGGGGGTTTTTTCAAGGCTCAGATGCATTTATGTCTCCAGCTTTCTGATCCCAGCAATGTCTGAGCTGCTTGGCTTTGTTCATAAATCTCTGTACCCTGAGATGCCCTACACTTCCCTGTATCTATCACTTAGTTGTGGGTTGTCCTTCAGAAACCCCTGTAGTCCCACTGAGTGCCATCACTTTGCCATAATCCTTCCACTCTCTGCTAGCTGTCACCTATACTGGGGGATCTTTATGTTTGCCTAATGATGATTTATTGCAGTAACTGATTTCTTCCTGCTTCAGTTGAGAGTTTTACATTCTCCTCCTCCTGAAATCTGGGTTCTCTCTTGCTCCTGATGCGCCACAGTTTGAATACTTGTGCCAACCAGATGAAACCAGAGCCTCTTGCCCAGTGTCCCTGGGCAGTTTGACATGTTACATGTTTATAGTATGATTCTAGAAATTGGTTTGCACTGGCTGCAGAACTGGTGGGCAGTAATACCAGGTATCAGCAGCTTCCCTCTTATCCTTCATCCTCTTATTCTTCATCTTCTTATGTTTCCCTCTTCTCTCTCCAGCTCTGATGTTGAAGTCCCTAGAGATAGCAAGATAGTTTGACCAAGCAACACTTAAGAGGCATGGTGATCACAAGTATAAACCGTATAAAAATACCAGTGATCTGTATTAAGTGGCTAAAAGTGGTGTATAAAAGGTATGTGCTCATGGCAGAGTTATCTAGGGATCTTACCTTTTTCTATGCAGAAACTACTGCCTGTCACCTGAAGCTGGCTCTACTTTCAGCCCAGCCAACTGATGAGGGCTAAATCAGAGATAGGCTCTTCCTTAGGGGGATGACATCCACTCTTTTTTGTTGGTTTTTGGGTTTTTTTGAAGTTTGGCTATGTTTTGTAGCAAACAGCTACTCCCAGCCAAGCCTGCTGCAAGCACTCGGCGTGAACTCTGCAACACATCAGTAACGAGCAGAAATTAAGAAGGGAATAATATATGGTGAGTTCCAGGAAAATCTTCCTGACAGAAAGCATAACTAGGCTGTGGCATCAATTCCTTGAGGAGAAGCGGTGAAAGACCTATCACTCAGCACATTTAAAATGGGGTTGGACAGAACACAAGCACATTTCCAGCAGGGAGCAATCCTGCCCTGGTCCCCAGGGGTGCACCACATAACCTAATAGGTCTTTTCCATTTCTAGATTCTCTGGTTCTCAGTGTCTTGTCAATGCAGGGAAGCGTCCTCCTGCTCCACTGCCTGTCATGCTGCTGTCTGCTTGCAGATATTTTTCCCAGGCAGCACAGAGAAATTCAACTTCCTCTCTGAATTAAGCAGCAGTGCTCTGTAGGCTTTGTCCTGTGGGTGTCCAGAGAGCACTAGGGAAAGGTGGCAGCTCCTTTTGTTAGTAGGTGGAAAGACTTCTGCAAACAAGCTTTCTCTGTCTGGCTGAAGCCTCATTTCTAGCACTAATGCAACAATAGGGAGGGCTCTGTACATCATTTTTATTATATGGCAGAACCCAGGGAAGTTCATTTTTCCCCGTGACTTATGGACTTGTGCTGCAATCTCAATTTATCCTTCTAAATAATGTAGGTGGCAGTGGTTGATTCACATTAGTTTTTCTTCTGTTCTGATGATATGAAAAACTGAGTTTGACCTCTGCAGCTTGAACCAGCAAGAAGGGAGAAGGCAATTTCGCCAGCTATTCTCAGTGCCACTCTCAGTGGTCGTTTTGAACCGTGGCAGGCAGAAATGAGTTCAAATCCTTACAAGCAAAGGGGTTAATGTTTTCTTTTAGATCAGTATATGGCTCGTGAACAGAGTTCCCTTCTTGCAGGCAGTCCTAACCAGCAGAACCTGAGCATTTGGAGGCGCTTTAAAAACTATTCCCACGTTGCCTGGGGGAAGCAGGCTGAGCACCAGCCGCTTCGGTGCCTGGCCCACGGCCGTTCCTCCTGCAGTGCCAGCTGCTCTCATGTGCATCCTGCTTCTTTCTTCCTCTGCATCTTTAAGTCTGCATACAGACCCAGTTCAGGGAGTTTACACGTGACCGGTTTTGCAGTCATCTGTGCTAGGCAAGGCGTTGGGTGAAAGGCAGCGTCCCAGGCTGAGCAGTGCTGGACAGCAGTGGAATAGGGTGAGCAGAGGAGAAAACCACCTCCAACCGGTGCTCACTTCCACATCGTAGGCGCTCCACAAGTTCCCCCTGTAAATTGCTTCTCTGGTGATTATTGCAGTTACTTGGATGAACCCTTCATGCATCTGGCACCTTGGGAATGGGATCAGACCCCATCCCGAGGAAACCACATCTGGGCCAAGCAACTGTTCCTCACCCAAAACTGGAGGAGCAGGCACTGCCTGGGCAAAGGGAGGGTGGCTTTCACGCGAGCGCTGGGTGGCAAACTGGGTGTGCTGCGTTGGTGTGTGCATCTGTGATGTCTCGGACTGAGTTTCGAATCTTTTTGTGTCACACATAATAAAACCTGAAAGGACGAGGAGATCACTGGCGTGGAGGAGGCTGACAAGAGGCAAAGCGTTTCCTCAAGAAGGAGGTGTCTGCTGGACGGGGGTGGTGAGGTGGGAGAGCTGGGGCTCCACCAGTGCCTGCAGGACGGTTGCAGTGTGTTGAGCGCTTGCTAGGCTTTGTGTGCATCGGATGAGAAACAAGCAGCTGCAGTCAGTGTGCTTCGTGCTCGGCTGTTTTGATTAAAGGCTTATTAAAGGTCCTTTTATTAGACAGGAGTCCCATACGAAGCTGTAATTAATATGTGTGTGAACGTATGTTGTTTTCCTTTATTGAAGCAATGAATATAAGTGGTTGGGGCGGTTGGAAATACATCAGCAACTGGTTCCCTGTGCATTAAAAATAACAATAATCAATTTTACAAGCTTCTAACAGCAGACTGGGTACCTTTTGGCTGCATGCTGGTACCCTGTGGGTCCAGGGAACATCACGATATGTTTATCCAGGAAGATGCTTTAAAAGCGTGGGGCATGGCCTTCCTTTTCTGAGGCTGGCTGTTCAATCACCAGAGTTGCCATAACCTGAGTTGTCTCTGTCATCTTGTTTGTATACAGGAGCTCTGCAAATAGAGAACAGCGAGGAGTCAGACCAAGGGAAATACGAATGTGTCGCAACCAACAGTGCAGGAACGCGCTACTCTGCCCCAGCAAACCTTTACGTTCGAGGTAAGAGCAGCTTCCACCCAAGGGGGTCACTCTCCTCCTGCCCAAAATGCTCTATGGCTCTCAGTGAAGGAGCGTGTGCCCTCTTTCACACTCTGTGGCTTCTGTCATACGGCCTTTTGCTCAAGAAACCTGAAAATTCTTTGGACCACGTTGGATTTGACTCCCATTTCAGGAAACCCGGTTTTGCTGTTTATGTGGTGTTGTGTAAAATGCTGAAATACGAGCAGAATTGGAATTCCTTTCTCCCTTGAACTCCTTAACTTTGTATCGTAGTTATTTTAATTGGGTGCCTAATCCTCTTAGTATAAACTAACTTTTAGTGGAAAAGCATAAAACCAGTCATGCTCTGATGAGCAAGAGGTGCTCAGCTATAGGTGAGCTGATGTTTCGGCCTCTGCTTTGGAATGTGTGTCTTTAAAAACTGAACAGCGTTTTGGAGTTGTCTTAATCCATCTTACATGTATCAATGATTGAGCCTCGGGGTATTAATGGCTCACACTGGGAACGGGCTGGAAATCAGCTGCAATTCATGTAAAGTGATTTTTCTGATGGTTGTGCTATGTTGCTAATTTAAAACTGTTCTCAACGTACCAGAATAACTAGGTTTTACATTAGGACAGTCTCCTGCTGGTTTCCTTTCTCTACATTAAAGGTGTTTGAGTTAGCTTGGAGAGGAGCGAGGGCTAAATTCCCTGTAGGCTTTCTGTTAATTTTGACAAGAGAGAAATGTGCTGTTTCGTATGAAACTCTGTGTAACCAGAGCCAGTGGTCGGGAACCCCTGGGACATGCAGTTATGGATTTTCCCCAGAAGAGAAAGAAGGCTCTTGTGCTGGTGCAACCCGTTGTTTGTTAGGAAGTTAGGACCAGATTTGATTTCCACATAGTAAATCAAACTGTCTAATAATTAAATCTCATCTTCATTCCTTCCTTCCTCTGTTCTGAAGAAAGAAAATACAATCTTAAAGCTGTATGTGCATTGGTTAGTGTGGAAAGAGGACATGAGAATGATTAAGTCTTCACAAGCTGTGTGTTTGCTTCTAGGAGTGGCTCCTGGCATTGTTTCCTTTGCTCATTCTGGGGGACTGCCTTTTTATTTTGCAGCGTAATTTGGATTATGAGAGTCTTTGGAAGACTGAAGTATCCAATTAAGCATATTCAGAAGATGAAGCTGTATCTATGCAATGGAATCACTCATTTCACTCTCACAATGTAATTATGGATTACTTTAAACTCCCTCTGTTCTCACAAGTTCATTTTTCAGGCAAGCTGTGCTAAAACTTATCCCAGATTGTCACTTTGCACTCGGAGGGAAAGGATCCTAGTCCCCAGGCTGCTGCTGTTGCATAGCTTTGTGTGGATACCCAGCTGCTTTGCTGCAGTATTTGGGATGCTTTTGCTCCCTGTGACACACTCAGGCTCTCGATGCTCTGTTTTCTGTAGAGGTGCGGCTGCCAAAAGGCACAGGAGCTTCAAGTGGTAGAAAAACCTCTATCGACTTCCTGATTTCTTGCTAATGACTCTTCTTTATTCAGCAAGGGAAGCCTGGGGAGGGTGCTGGGTTTTACACCAGCAAGGTTTGTCTGTCCTGTTTGGGCTAGGACCTTGGATGGTTTGCACACCAGAGAGGATCCTGATGTTCACCTATTCTTAGACATATGCTTTGCTGTTAAATGGCATTTTCTTGCACATAAATTTTTGGAACAAGCATTTTTATTGCATATAATCTTTACAATGTCGGTCTCGAACCTGTGTGATCCTGATAAAGCCCTGCTGTATATTTAAGACAGGATACCCCATAAATTATTGTCAGATGAAATTCACTCTGTAGTAGGTTCTGGATGGTATTTGTGCTGACGGTTTCTGGTAGCAAATGTTCTACCAAAAAAAAATACATCATTACTATATTAATTAACGACTTCAAAAAGTCAAACAAAGAGCAGTATTTTATTTATTTAACAAGCAAGGGAAAAAAATGAAAATATCTTAATTTCTCAGGTCTGGGCTGCAGAATAAAAGGATCCCTGGTTTTTCTTCTTGTGATAGCCCTACAGTGTTGTCATTAGCCGGATCAGTGACTTCCAGTAGGGTCTTCAGAAAGTGCCTGCGTCTTTACTAGAGAAGACATTAATTAACACTAAATTACAGTGGAAATTAAGTGTGTCGGCTGCATGGTGGTTTCATAGTGATTGACCTCGTTGTGGTGAATACCCAGGAAGTCGGCCGCTTTCTCAGAAAGCCTGGCTGACTCCTCATTTCCACCCTGTGTAGTTCTCAGGCCCGTTGTTTTTTTAATAGTCCAAATGTTTGTTTGTCTCTTGACTCTCGGGGTTGATGTTTTTGATCATGTCCTCCCTTTTTCTAGCCTGGCAGGTAATGCTTTGTGAGAGTGCTGGGTTAGAAAGCACTCATTAGCATCTTTATCTTACTGTTGGTGCTAACAAAGGCAGATGCTGGGTGCTGAGGAGGAGTATCCAGGCACTGCTCAGGGCAGTTCTTCCTGTATCAATGGAAGAACAGGAGGAGGAGGAGGAAGGAGCAGGCTGCACCAGTGCTTGGTCTCTGTGAATCCTTCAGAGCCAGCGCTTCTGCACAGATGGACTTCATTAAAAGTTAAAAAATGTCCACACCAGGGATTTGTAAAGGAAAATGGATGCATTTTCCTTCAAGCTATTATCTTCATCTTACGAAGTGTGCTGGAGAGCAACCCTCATAAGCCTTCTGCTTCTGGGCTGACAGGTCTACCTGTCTGCTGCTGCAGAGATGGGGCTGGGGACCAGCGCTGGGAGCTGACTGCCCCCACTGCTGCTCTGCAGCCCTCCTTGCTTGGAGGGTGGCAGAAAGCATCCAGACCATCAGAGGAGCAAGGACAGAGTGAAAGCAAGGGCAGGGAGCATGCCAAGGAAAGGTGGCTATCTGGGAAATAGCAGGGACTTCAGAGGGGACACAGCAACATGTTCCTATCCTGCCCTTTCAGCGTAAGCACGCTTGCCAGCGCTGGTCTGGATGAAGGAGTGCTCATCCATTTGTGGTCCATGGTTACATCTACCCCAGTACAATGATTAGATCTGGGACTCTATGGTGCTGCGGGGAGAAGGGAAGGGGATAGAAACATATGGAAGATGTGATTCCTCTAATCCAGAGAGCTTACTGTCTAATTTAGCAGCAAAAATCCGAGAAGTTGATTCAAGACATACAAGAAATTGATTTAAGAGTAGAAGGTAGATTGGACCTCGTGTGGAAGAGGAAAAAAGAGGTGGTGTCATTTCATCGTGCTCACTGGGAGTATAGAATAATTGCACTGGTTCACCTACACTATTGGGTTTTTTATGAATACATTTCACTCTTCATTTGCCTACAGCTTCAGGGACATTTGCACAAAGAGGAGCATTTTCAGCAAAAAAATCTTGTCCTGTGAAACGCCATTGGAGGTGGTGGCCTGCGTGGTGCTCCCCTCAGTAGGGGCACTGTTATTTGACTCTCTCCCTGTGTGAGAGGTTTCTTCTGCCCTTCTCTTTCTCTACACATGGCATTATTTTTTTCCTACTTCAATGAAGCAGATGAACAGAAAGACCATGTATAAGAGTATCCTTATTAATACACTGTGGAGTTCACTAGGTGCATTCCCCAGAGCTGCTTACAGCAGCGAGCGATGCAGATGCTATTAGAACAGCACTTATTGGAGCATCGGCTGCATACTTCCCATTAAATGAGAAATCTGCTGCCTAATTTTCACTGAAGTCCTACTTTTCAAGCCTTCAAGGCGCAGCCCAGTGGGGCATGTGCAAGTTCCCTGGCCCATAATGCTACACATGCTGTAGAAAAGCAGCTGCACGGCTGCTTTTAAAGAAAGACCATTGGAAACTGAGTTGTCTCCTGTGTCCCCAAATTACAAACTGCTAAATCAGACCGCAGTGAATAGAAATTACTGCAAAGATCTGTGCTTTCTTGATCAGCTTTCTGAGAGGCCAGGCTGGTATTTCATTTGGCAGCAGGGAAACTTGCTTGGAGTCTGAGGTTTTTATTTGCCAAGTTTCACTAAGGAGCCATCGCCCAAAATGAAACGAGGATTGTGGCTCTGTCCCTAGCAGCGATTCTCTGGCCTCTTCAGGGTTTTCCAGTCGGGGACTTGGCGGTGGCTTAGGCTCAGACACGGAGGGAGCTCACCGAAATGGCTACTTGCAGCTACATGATGCTTACTGCGGTGGGGATCTTGTGTAAATAATAATAATTCTGAGTGACTGACACGGGCCTGGAGCCACAAGACTTGAAGCCTTTTAAAAAAGGACATTTTCTGCTTATGTAATATTAAAGCAGCTAAAATAGCAACAGCAGTCAAAGCTTGAGGGTATTGCCGGGAGAAAAGCAAAAGCTGAGGACAGTGGTCAAACGGTCAGCAATCAGAACTGCAAAATGTCTAAATAACTTTATATGTTTGTGTACAACCCACCAACATCCACACTTCTGGCAGTGTGCTCTGTGAAACCTGCCTCTCGTCAGGGTTGATGGGGTGACATGACTTGACCAGAGAGGGGCACTGCCGCTGCTCGGGGGCCTGGCAGCGATCACAGACAAGCAGAGACTTGTGAGGGAGATGCCTGGATGACAGGAAACACAAACGGGCACTTGAATCAGGCTGGATGACCCAGACACCTGCCCTGGACCACCAGAAGAAGCAAAACCAGGCTGCGATGGAGGCCTCAGAGTAACTGCAGCTCAGCAGTACATGGCTGAGGAGGGCTATGGGTCTGAAGGGGCATGATTTCCCTGTCTAAACTCTGCAGTCCTGACCTCAAGCCACTGCTGCAGTAGAGCAGTGCAACACAGAGCAGTGCCCCTTTGATGAAGGAAGTGCACTCATTTTTCGGTATTTTTAACTTCATCCCCTCAAACCCCCGGGTGCTGCTCTGTGCTGAAGCGACTGCTGTGGCTGTAGCAGGAGCAGATGCACCTCGGCCAGTTGTGAGCAGGCTGGGGTGAGCGCAGCCAGGGGCACAGCGGGGGCTGCACAGCACTGGGCACCAGCAGACGTTTGCTGCTCAGCCAACGCTGCGGCTCACACTGCTGCGACCGTGTGTGTCCTCGTCCTGGAGCTGCCTGGCTTCAGAGGCACGTTTTGTCTTCCCCACGTATTACTATGAATATTTTTGGTCATATTTTCTCCTGGGCTGAAGCGTGTTCATCATTAAGTGTTTCCGTGAGCACTTTGCTATGCTGTAATGGTAGTAATGATGACGGTTTAATAAATAATTGTTCTCTGTCATTCTGCTAGCACATTTCACCTGAAGGCTTCGATGTCCCTTTATAAAACTTGACTAAATAACCTTAACAGTTTTATTCCTTGCAAAGTCCTTTGATGGTTACAAGTGCAACACGAGGCTCGAGCCTGATTATTCGTAAAACGACCTTTATGGAAAACAGGAGGAGAGTGGATGGTGGCTCAGTGCATGATAATGCAACACAGAAATGGGCTTGGAAACAGATCTCCCCTCCTCCCCGCATGACCTGCACAGACGTCTGTGGAACAATTAGGCCTGCGTATCTGCCGACTAAATGTCCATTCCCTCCCCTTCCGTACCCACTTGCACAAAGGGTTAGGAAATCCATCGCTGGTGCTCTGAGATTTTCTGCTCTTAATTGAATTTGTGCATGCGTGTGTGTGCACTGTGAATGGGAAAAGATGGTCGGGTGCCCTGAGCGTCCTGTCTGTCTCTCCAGGATGGAATATACTCATCACTGTGGCATGAGGACATTGTTCATCCCGTATAATGGGAGGTTGTCTTATTCTCATGTAATCTGGCGTAAAAAAGACAATCTGGCCCTTTGTTCCTCTAGACCTCTCAAAGCCGTAAAGGATGAAATTTGATTTATGTGGAGTCCTTGAGACACAAGATGTGCTTTTGGAGATAAGCAGGAACAGGTTCATCCCCCTCTGGGTTTTTGTTAACCTCTGTGTCTTTTGGATTCCAAAGTGTCTGGGTTTGCTGTTATATTAATGCCTTGCGTAGCACCGGGTTTTTAGCCCAGGACAGACGCTGGCAGTTCCCAGCAGAATTGCAGAGCCGATTGGGATAATGAACTTTCTTGTTGCTTTCGGGAAAGTATTAGCTTCCCACTCTGAAAAGCCTTAGAAATGTGCTCCTCTGTTCGAGCTGGTGATCTAAACCCATACCTGTGCATTGGTATCCTGGCCACAGCCCCCTGTCTTGTTTCAGGGAGCTGATGCCCGAGAATACACAAAAGCAGAGCCTCCCATAAGCCCAAACTCCTTCTTCCTGCAGCAAGCTGCTGTGGTTAAGAGTCCTGCTGCTGCTGTGTAAGACGAGCACGTCTGTGGCAGGGTAAAAAGCCAAATTCAATCGGCATGGGAATTTCTGCCTACAGAGTGCTGGAGCCGTCTGACAGTCAGGACTGGCAGACGCGTCTGTGATACGGCCTCGCTCTTTGCTTCTTGGCTCTTTCAGCTTAGATCTCAAAAGGAGCCCTGTTTTATACCTTCTGGAGTTTGCTATCCTCTGGTGGGATTTCTGCCATGACTTGACTTGCTTTGGCTTGCACATGGGCTGGTACATTCAGGTTAAGTGCCAGGCAGCTCGGGTTCATGTGGGAGCACGGCAACGTGCAGAGCGAGCCGTGGTGTCCTGCACAGGGGATCCCACAGGTAACCCCAGCCCTAAATCCTCGGTCCCTCCGTGGGGGGCAGGTGTTATTTGCTGTCACTGCTCAGAGTTGTATTTTGTAAAGATATTTTGTAAAAAAAGCTGGAAACCTGTTGGAAAAACGTGCCGCTTTGGAGTGACATGGATAGAGAACTGGAGATAAAGGAGAATGTGAATGGGATCTGTAAGGAGATGAAACTTTCAATTTACCATTTATCAGGTTTATCTCAGATAAAGCAGCAGCTGCTTAAGCATTAAATAAAGGGAAAGGAGAGAGAACTTTCTGCCCAGGTGTTCCCTCTTGCCTTACAGCTGTTCCAAAATAGCCTGCTACTGGGTTTTATTCCCCATAAGCCACTAATATAATAAGCGATTAAGAGATAATCCAGCAATTAGTGACAAATAGCAAGCCCCAAACTCGTTCTTGTTTGACAGACCAGAAAGTAATCTGTTTGAATTAGCGTGTTTCACATGTGCCTCCTCACCTTTCCAACTCTAATCTGAAGTGTCAACACGTGGGGAAAGCCACTGCCGGAGCCCGCTGCTGTCTGTGCACAGTGCAATTAATTCCGGCGGGGCTCCCCAAAAGAGAGCTCCTGGCTGTTCCCCAGCTGCAGCAGCACCCCTCTCCCTGCCCATGGGCACACCAAGGGGCACTGCAGCGAGTCTCCTTGGTGTGGTTTGGGGCCATGAGCCTCCCCAGGGCTCTGGAGCTGCTGCCCTTCCACAACAGGGATGGATGCTCCCATCTCTGTTTCACCCACATCCCGCAGTCTTACACCCTTCACCAGCCTCTTGCTGCTCAGTCCAGAGTCCAAGTGGGTGTAGGAGGTTGGTCCGTGCCTGCAGCACTTGGAGTTAGTGCTGCTTTCCAGAAATGCAGCCGTTTTCGGGTACGCCTGCTTTGCCAGAAGCAAACCCTGGTTTCCCTGGTGGTCTGCCCTTCCTGAGCAAGGACAGGAAAACCAATCTTCTCTGTTGGGAAGAGCTGAGCAGAAGGCAGAAACCCCTTGGTGTCTGCCGAGGCCGTGCAGATGTGATACGCTCCATTAGATTAGGAAATAAAGTGGTGGCTTGGGAGCAGCAATAAAGAGGTTCCCTCCCACTACAAGGTCTCGCAGGGTTAAATGAGCCTTATGTTAATGTTTTGTGGACCAAGAGGTAAACCCTCTACCAGAGGAAATTTGGACCTGAAGCTAGGGCTGTTTGTCTTGAGGATGTGCAGGTGGGGGTCCTGATGTTCAGGGCTTGATGTGACCCTCACGTATGAGCCAGTTAAGCTCTGAGTTGGCTGGTTCTGGTCCCCTGGTATCAGTGCAATTGAAGAAATGTGAACAACTGCTTAAACTCGCTGTTTTTCCTACAAGCTTCACACTCTGTAGGCCACTGTTGTAGCTGTTATTGGCAGTTTGTTGCCCGGTCTGTACCATGTCAGTGTTGGTTAAAATCCTGTCTTCTGATCCCTGGAAATGGCTCGCTGTACTGTTGCACTGTATAATGCCACATGCTGTTCTCTGATTTGCAGTGTTTCTGCTGGAAAGCAAATTCCTCCCCCCACCTTCTCCTTCCCCCATCAGAACTGTGACTCATAAGCAGTCTTTAACTATCAAACCCACTTCTGTATTCTCCCAGCGAGGGTTCGGTTACAGCTGATACGCCACAGATCTGTAGCTTGAGTGAGGTCACTCCTGCTAGAGAAATAAGATCTCCTTTGTCTATAAGGAAAATGCAACTAACCTTCTACTGTCTCTCCCGCAGGAACAAAATCTGGGACCTGCTCAATTCCCTCGGGGTGTTTTTGTCCTTCTGATTTCTTGTCCATCTCTCACTCGCAGCACAGTGTACCCATAAGGCTCTCCCGAAACTGAGCCCAGCTGAGCCTGCGCATGTCTGTCACTTGCCTAATACCTCTCTGCTGCATTTAGCTCTTTGTTTGGAGAGGGGGAGCAGCTCTTCATGGTAGAAGATTTTCCATTCACCACTCGGAACATTCCTTTCATCCTTGATAAAATTCGGATCTACACACTTGTTCTACCCAGCGTGTGGTCAATGGGTTTAAAGTGCCTTTGCCATCGTCTTTAATAGCCGGAGTGGGTGTGTGGGAGCACGTCAGTCCGTGTGATGGCTGGAGTCCCTTTCTGTGTGTGAGTGTTTTGCACATGTCAATGTCTCTGTGCTTCCAGCCCCCGGTCCGGCGCGGGGCCGCCCCCCGAAGCGCCCTCCACATGAGTACGTGTGGGACGCGCGGTCCCCTGCGCCCTGCGGTCAGGGAGGCGGAGGGGCCGGCCCCGCTCCAGGCCAGAGCCGAAAAATGCGGCGCGCTGTTGTCCACGGCACAGAGCGGTGTGTGTGTGTGTGCGCGGTGGGAAGTCATGGCTGACCTGTGTAGTCTTGTCTTGTCGTTTCAGTGGTGTGCGGACAGATGAAGCTTGGCCTGTTTTTACTCTCTGTGTTTTTCCTTGTCTTTTTTTATTCCCTCCTCATCTTCATCGCACTCTGCCATCAAACAAAACAAACTTTCATCTCTCAGATCAGCGAGAAGGTTGGTCCTTTTCACTTCTTATCCATCTACAGTACGCCACGTCAGATGGGACTTTTCCAGTAGGGAGAGGAGAGCCATCCCCAAAAGGGGAGGGGGCCGTGCAGACTCTGGCTCCCTTCCAGGCACGGCCACAGTGTGCCTGACGAAATCTGCTTACTGTTTGCTGTGACTCTGGTGATGGCATTGATACTTTGCTCGCATGCTTTTGTTGCTTGAGATTTAAAATGCACAGAATGTGTTTTGCATGCAAATAGCAGCCAGGGCGGTGTTGTTCGAAGGCAGGGTGGGAAGAACTGCATGCTTACTGTATGTGTGGACCTCCTCTAACCCACTACCTGTGCTAGGTGCCAGTCTAACACCTCTCAAGTGCTGCTGCTTTCTGGCCAGAGATCAAGAGCAGTCTTTGGGAGCGGAGATCAGAATGACCTCCAGTTCCTTGGCGAGCTGCTGGGGAGAGCAGGTTCCTCAATTCCTCCTGCGGCTTTGAAAGTTTTAACTTTCTCTAGCGGCAAAAAGCTCACTTTTGATCTCGGCTGGAGAAGAACCCGGCGCGCTGCCCTCCCTCGCCACGGGGCAGCAGGAGCGGCTGGAGGAGAGATGCAAGGCCCTTGTGCTGAGGCAGCTTCCCTGCTCCTCAGCTCTGGGGGCTGCCAGCTCCCCACACTCCAACAAGGGTCCTTTCTGCCTCTCCCTTCGTTCCTGGGGTTTTGGCGGTGGTCCCAGCCTTACTGGGATGGCTCAGGGCACCCCATGATGACCTGCACGGGAGGTCATAGCCACTCAGCAAAACCTGCTTTGCGCTTTGCCCTGCTCCATCCCACTGCCCTCAGAGCCAGAGGTGAGTAAAGGACAACAGCGAAAGGCAACTCCAGCTTTTAAATTAAACCGAGCTCCAGAGCTAGCTTGAGGCACTCGTGATTTCGTGCTGAGGAAAGCCGGTGTGCTTGGCAGGAGTCCTGAGCTAGTTTCCAGAGGTGACTCCTTCACCAGACGGGTACCATGCGAGCATCCCTCTGCACACACCAGAGGAGAGGGATGCTCCCAGCAGCTGTCCAGCCCAGTGCTGCTCAGGATGGCATGGGGAAGAGACCCTGGGTCCTCTCTCACGTGCAATCGGGCAGCTGCATCGGTTGAGCTTATAATCGTCACTGGAACAAGCTTTAACAAGTTGTCATAGCAGTTGTTCCAGTACGCTGGCTCCACTGCTGTTCCTCTCCCTGGAACGTGCTCTCATTTAGGCTGCACCGGGGCCCTTGTTGTTTACCCTCTAAAAATAGATTTTTGGAGAGGATCTAATTACCTGAGCCCAAGACAACGACGAAAGGAAGGAAGAAAAGAGAGGAAATGAAAGCCAAGGGCCAAAGCCTCCCAGGTTTCAGTGAATTTGGAGCACTGCTGTGATGGCTCGGGCACCTCTAGAGGGTAAAGCTTTGACAGGGCACTTAAACGTTTTAGCCGCATGGTTTAGCTGGGGGGAGGCAGCCGAAAATGGATGTAAGCCAGCAGGAGGGGATAATCTCTCATTCTTTGTGTTGACTCCTCCTTTCCACCCCACCAAAAATACCCACGTACACAAATATTTAATGTGAAGGCAGAAATTAGTTTCTAAATATTCCATTGGGATTTGCCATGCTTGTAATTTGTTTGGCACTGATAATTACACCTTACGTTTTTTCCAGCTTTACTTAAAAGTGTGTACTGCTCACCCATGCATTTAATTATTGCTCTGTGACTGCTACAAGGTTATTTATTAACGAGTTATTTTATCTTGATACAGTGGATCTTTTCTCTTATTCCCCTCCTTAATGTTGTGTTATTTTCATCAGAGAAATTTCAGAGAGTGAATGCAAATTGCATAGCCCCACAATCTTGCTCTCCCTTACTTTGCTATTAGTATGTCAGTATGCTGAATGCTGATGTGTCTCCAGTGCTGCACCACTGTAATGATATATCCTCTTTTATATGTGGTTGTCAGCGCAAATAATTAGACCTAAAAGTTATAGCTGAAATATAATCCAAAAATGGCAAGGCCCTGTTTTGGAAATTGTCTATAAAATGTCAGCACTCAAGGATGCATTGCGAGCATAAATAGTGCAGCATTGTTTGAGCACAAGATTAGACTGTAAATGCATTTTTTCTGGTTCCAATTTTTCCTCTCCTGCTGTTGATTCTGTCAATAGATTGCAAGGCTCCAGCAACTGCCTTTCCATTTGAAGCCCTTCCTTAAAATGATAGCGCTAGGGAGAGATGAAAGGTGTCTACAGATGAGTAAACCACGCAGACCAATGATCACATTTGAGGATATCTCCTACATTCACTCCTTCCCGACTCTCGAGGAGGTGGTTCCTGAGGGTTTTGGGCAGGGCAGAGGTGTGGCAAGGGTGAGAGCCCATGCATCGAGCACCCTACAGCTTTGCTGGCTGGGGTAAAGCAGTTGGGCAATGTCACCTTTTCAGAGCTGTCCCCTCGCCTCCCTCTCCACCGATCCCAGTCGGGAGGTTGGAGCAGAGCCCTCAAAATTCCCTCTGCTGTGCCGGGGCCAGGGAGGAGCAGCACAGCCCGGGCAGTGCTCGTCCTCCTTCAGAGCAGAGGGGACTTCAGAGCCAGCTGGGTGTGTGGGAAGGAAGCCCAGAAGCAAGGGCAGGCAAGTGGAGGTCCCTGCATCCCTGCAAGCTGGAGGAAGGGCTGTTAGCATTGTCGTTTGCTCAGCTGTACCGTGGCCAAGGCGGCCAGCAGGGAGAACAGTTTGGTTTCCACTTCCCTAGCAGCACCGCGCAGTTTTGGAAGCATGGGCAGTCCTCCTGGCACTGTTGTGTTTCCAGCAGGGCCTCGCTGCGTGCCAGCATCTCAGCACGCGAGAGACAGGCTCACAGCAGCCGCTGCGTGTCCTGAGCGCTCCTGCTCGGAGCCTGCAGCCCTTGCAGACAGCACCAGGTCCCTGGTTCTCCAAGGGGGTAACGTCACCCTCAGAGGGAACCTGAGATGTGAGGAAACGGCTGCTCCTGCGGTGACAGGAGCCGGGCAATCGATCCATGCTCTTTGCTCTCAAGGCAAGGAATGTGCATGTTAATGCATGCTGAATTATTAACACTTCTCAATCTCAACCTTTGTGGCTGTGGTGTTGCCTGGTCCCCTCCTTTCTCCCCATGGTCCCCGTATCAAGCAGGGAGCTTGGTCTCCACGCTGCCCTTTCTCTCTGTCCTGTGGGATCCAGGGCGCGGGCTCAGGTTGCTCACCACTCTGGGGTTTCACTTCTCTTCACTTCACTTCCCAGGGAACGCTCACAACAGGGAGGCGTGCTCAGTAGTGGAGCAGCGCAGAGCCCTTACGATGCCTGTTCTTGGGATGAATGACAATGAATCTCATTTTTGACAGTCTGCTGGTTTAACTAAACTTCTGAATTACACTATTGTCCGTTGAAATAATTGTAATACTCACAGCAATTCCTCTTGTGCTGTTCTTGCAAAACCTCCAAACCACCTTCTCTGATCTTTATCCAGAAAGAAGATTAAAAGGAAAAAAAAAAGAAAAATTTCTTGTCAAGAAAATTGTAATAAAAAGGGAAATTTCATTGCCTCAGTAAATGAAGAACAACAAAAATTTCTGGAGCACTTAAGGTAGCATCATGGGCTGTGCTAGCCCATGTAATTTGACTTGTAAATTGGACAGAAATTTGGAGAATGCTGCTTTTTGAGGAGTTAGACTGATTTAAATTATTACCAGACTTTTATGCTAGAAAAGCAAGCGACTTAAATCGCCGGCTTGAGCCTGAGGAATGTGTTGATGGTGCTCTCAAGCTGCTGTGAGAGCTCTGCCAGCTTTCACTAATGCTAACTGACAGCATCTCCCCTTCTCCCTCCATGCTGGCTGGGACGAGAAGCTGCCAATTCTCCCCCAAGAGGATGGGAGGCCGATGGAGCCTGTCCCTTCCTTTGCCTGCGCTCCTGCCAGAGCATCGTCCGGGCCAGACCTCTCACCGAAGGCATTGCCCTGACCCGCTCCCACCTCCCGTGTCGAGAGCTGACCCCTACACGTGGCATCCCTTTTTAGCAGCTGCGGTGCCTTGGGCACCACTGCTCTCTGGCGCAGAGCAACGAGCCCATCGTAGTGTGCTAACGAGAGGAGGCCAGCTCAGCCGTTCTGGGTTGCAAAAGTACACCATGGAGGCCTGTTTAACTGCTCATCTGTTGCCAGGCTTGAGAGCTGAGGCCCCACACAGCTTCCAGACAGGCATAGTATGTGTTGAGGTTGGGGACGCTGCAGCTTGCCCACCTTTCTCATATGGTTTGATCTGCAGGAGAGTTTTCCTTGCCACTCATCCCTTCTCTAGGCACATGGATGTGCTGGCCACCTCCACTACTTCACTGTGGGTTATACGGGGTGAAGGGGCTCAGCCCTTCAAAGTGCTGTGAGAGAGCCCCCAGCCCCTTTGGAAGCGCATCTTCCCTGTGCTGTCCACAGGGGAGCAGGGGTGGTAGCTGCCAGCTTCCCCGGAGAGAGGAGGCTGCAGTGCCCACAGGCACTGCCTGTACGGGACACATCAAGGGGGACACGGCCCCAGGAGCACCCCAAGAGCAGTGCTTGACACGGGGGCACGGTGCAGGGGAGTCTGCAGCAGGCTGTGCTGCCTCTGGTCTCACAGGGCTGGGAGGCAGCCTGTTTGTGCATGCTGGGCTCTGACCTTCCTGCATGGGCTTCCAGTCTCGTCTTCCCGTGTCCTTGTATGCGAGTTCCTGTGCACCTTCCCTCTGCCTGTCCTGCCCTCGCACCGCTTTCTCTCTGACGCCGTAGTGGCCTCCGGTGCCTGCCAGCCTGTTTGCCTGGTGCATGTGTGTGAGCGCTCCGTGCACACCTATGGCTTTATCCTCCAACTTTGCTCTTTTTTATTTTAATCCAGTGTGGGTGGGTGGGTTTGGTCCTTGGATGGGAACGCAATTTGAACAGCTTCTACCTGAAATAATTTGACACCACGTTCATTGGAAACTAAAATGTTGACTCTTAACGAACGGTGCTGGGATGCTTTGGTTGGAAGTACACGCCATCATGTTGAACCATTGCCATGTCCATCGGGTTAACTCCGTATTCTCATGACTGTGTAGCACTTGAGTACACTTTCAGTTCTGTCTCATTTGGGGAGCGCTGCCCCGTCAGTCAGGTAACGCCTCCCTGGCGATTGCTCATGTAGCTATTGATTTGAGATTTAATAATTGATTAAAAGAAACAACCAACAAGACTTTGGATTTAGACATTCCAAATAAAAAAAAATAAAAAGCAAAGCAAGTTATCCTTCCCCTGGCTGGTAAGGAGCTAATGAGCCCTGTTTTGTCACCGAGACGATGTGTAGTACACACACAATGTTGACAGTATTGTCTAATTTATCACGAAGTCTTAGCTCTGTTGTACATGCTAGCGTGGGGGCTTCCGTCTTCAGTCTATTTCTGCAAGCCTGTTGGTTTGGGAATGAATCATCAAAGAGAGAGCACCAGTGCAATTTGATTTGGGGAGAGTCAGCTTGGCAAGCGGAGCTGACACCTCTGCGGCTCGCCGGGCTGTCAGCAGCTTTCCCGTCTGCGGTGGCAGGAGCCAGGCCAGCAGAGCCGTGTCCCCCCGGACCCCAGCGCCCGCGGGGCCGGTCGTGCCTGCGGCGTTGTGAGCTGGCACCGCTCGGGCTCCTGCCCAATTTCCAGCTTCCCCCAGCGCCGTGGCTGTTGGCTGCTCCGCCGGCCCGATGCGCTGATGGAGGAGCGGAGTTAGCAGGGAGAGAATCCTCGGGAGCCGGTCAGTCGTGAACCCGGCCGATGCTCTGGAGCTGCCTTTTTGGGGGAGGAGGCTAGAGCAGAGCAGGGCTGCTGGGCGAGCCACGTTCGAGCAGTTTCCCTTTTTAACCGCAGAATAAAATGAGCCTGCCCAGAGGAGACAAAGATTTAGCGAGCACAGTTGTTTCTCTACCCTTGCTTAAATAGGCCCATAACGCTAACCCTGAAGAAGGGGCCTCATTTCTCAGTGTCATTTTTCCTGATGGGAATGCATATGGCAGGCAGCTTTAGAGCTTTATTGGAGCTGAGAGTTGCTTACAAATAAGTCTTGAATGAAATACCCAGCAAGGGATTGATATGAAGAGAAGCTGTGCAATGAAATAAGGAGGAATACATCTCCCGAAGTGCTGCCACAAAGGTGGGTAGGGTTCTGCCAGCCCGGCTCTCTTCTGTCAAAATGGATATGATCTCACATCTGTCAGGATTAGTTCTCTCCTGCCCAGCAAGGTGATCTGTTCAGGCCCTGACAATGTCATGCAGCTCTGGCAACTATTTTTCCTGAGCCAAGGTAGAACCTGAGTTACATTTTGAAAAGAATGATCTTTTATTTAGCAGCATACGTGTGCTAATTCAGAAAGAAACCCTTCTGCTGCTCCTGCCCAAACCCTGTGAGGTTTAGGGTCCAGGTTGCTTTACTCTAGAGCTAAGAAATTGAGCAGGTAATTCCGTTCTGCAGAGCTTCAGCGGGCCCTGCATGGAGAGAGCGTGTGACTGGCATTTGTGCATGCTCTCTAATTAGAGGGATGGAATTTAAATGGAGAAGTGTTTCGTGTTAGTAATACGATTTCAAAAGGCTATGTTTGGAGGGAATGGGTTGAGCCATCCCTTAATGAGTTCTTCTAATAAGATGCCAGTGGCTAAGGAGGGAGAGCGAAGTGTGTGCAATTTGGCAAAGCAGTGAACAGGTTTTGTACTTCATTTTATCTGTCCCGAGGGGTAGACAGGCAAAACCATTGAACCCCCCTCACGCGTACCCCCCGCAACGCAACCGAGTGCTCTCTGCTGCTTCCGTGACCCTACTAGCTGTCTCCTCCTTGTTGCAGTGCGGCGTGTTGCTCCTCGATTCTCTATCCCTCCGAGCAACCACGAGGTGATGCCTGGGGGGAGCGTGAACCTCACGTGCGTGGCGGTGGGTGCTCCGATGCCCTACGTGAAGTGGATGGCTGGCGTGGAGGAGCTGACCAAAGAGGACGAGATGCCCGTCGGTAGGAACGTCCTGGAGCTGAACAACATCGTGCAGTCTGCCAACTACACCTGCGTGGCCATCTCCTCCCTCGGCATGATCGAAGCCACAGCCCAGATCACTGTCAAAGGTAAGGAATTATTCCTCCTGGTGCTTCTGCTTGAGTTTCAGTGGTGCGGCCCTTTGCCAAAGTGTTTTTGGGTGCAGCCAACTGCCTGCAGTCTCCTGTGACTTTTCCACCTTGCAAGGGAGGTTTCCAAACCCACAACTTTGTTTTTTCCTGCTCACAGTTTGGTATTTGCTTAGGGGGTCATTTCCTTTCTCCCTACAAGGGGCATGACGGGGGACAGGCTGGGTCCCTGTAATGCCATGAGGGAACCTCCCTGCGTCTGTGCTCATCAGCAGGATCAGCTCAGCACAGCGGCAGGACACGGGCTGTGCCGGGGCAGGGGTGCGTGGATGTCTGCAGCCAGAGAGCTGCTGGAGCAGAGAGGTCCCTCTTGCAGCAAGGGCAGGACAAGAAGGTTAACCCCAGCAATGTGAAGTGTCTGTGGGCCTCACCAGGAGCATCCTCCCCTCCTGCAGGGAGGAGCTCTCATTTTAAGACTGTTGCACATTGCTCTGATCATTTTCCTTTTTCCC